GTCTGTGTGTGTGTGTATGAGAGTGTGCGTGCTGATGGCACTCTTAAATTTACAGGATATGTGCATAATTTTGCAAACGGACAATGCGCCTGTCACATTCACTTAATGCCGCCCCGAACGCGCCTTTGCCACCTTGTCAAAGTTTTCATGAGAAAGCTTTAACCTGCAACTGAACAGAAGTCTGAGGTTGAGGCTAGAAGTAAACTTTTTTCATAGGTATTATCAACTGCCGTATCAACTTTTACATCATCTTTGATATCAAATTTAACATTCACTTTTACATCAAGTGTTACATTGACTACTACATCAAGTTGGTGAGCAACTTCTATATCAACTTCAACATCTTTCTATATTAGCACAATTTCAACACTTACATCAACTTTTTCATCAACTTTTACATCAACTTTTACATCAACTTATACATATATTTCCTTATCAATTTCTTTACAAACTCAATTTCAACATCTACTTTTACACAAGCTTTAACATTAGTTTTTACATCAAGTTCTACATCAACTTTTATATCAACTTCTACATTAACGTCTACTCTATATCACCTCTACATCGACTTCTACATCAATCTAGATCAACTGTATGCTAAACGCAGTACGAGTTGGACTTGTTTCTTTATCGCTAATAAACGAAAATTGTATTTCCTTTTTTTTAAGTGTAGCTTCAGTATTTGATTTGGATTTTGATTTGTTTATCTTTTTGTATAGAGCCTCAGGTATTTATTTATTACTGCAATTTTATTTGGTATTGTTTTTCATTGAGGTTTGGATGTCGGGACCTTGTGGGCCATGTAGCCTAATGGATAGGGCGTCGGACTTCGGATCCGGAGATTGCGGGTTCGAATCCCGTCATGGTCACTACAGCGTAAGAGTATTTTTTTTTTTAAATTATACTCGCTCATTTGAGAGCAGAGCTCAGCGCCTCCCGTTTGCTGTCCATTCCATGTCTGTGCGTCTAGGCATCTGCCTGATACTGATCTCTGATACCTTTATCTTTTTACTTTTTGACAGCATCGATTGGGGGCGTACCTAATGGAAAAGTAATAAATGATGTTGCAGCTGAAACTAGAGACTTGAAATTAGATATATATATTGAGGCAGTTAGAAATTTATAGCTAGAAGCTATGCCTATTGCAGCTTAATAACTATAGATTTTGTTTACTGGTTCATCTGTTAAGCATATAATCGGATTCATATATAAATGTAGCTATTTTAGACTCTGAAGCAGTATTAGGTAATGTTTCGACTTCATTGTGAAGTGACAAATATGGTCAACAAATATGTAATTTCTTTTTTTTTTCACTTATGAAAATTAGAGCTCTAGCAAAAAGTTATCGTTCTCGTTATCGAATGTATTAGATTATATGAAAGTGTGAGCAGCGAAAGAGAATATATCAAAGAGCAGGCAGAGCATATCCAAGTGACTAACGGAACATTCAGCAGAGACCAACTGATTGGCATAAGTGAGCATCAACAAAACACGAATAAAAATTACTAAAATGCGTTACTTTTTGAGCACACCTCGTTTCCGAATTATTTGAGCCACCTTTCGCAATTTACTGCCATTTATTAGAAGTTCGAATTGAATTTGCTTTAATATTTGATTTGCTCAGTCAATGAAATTTGGATTTGGAATTGGATTTGGATTTGGATAAAGTGTCTATATCTATGTCAGCGCTATGACAGCTGCTCAGCCTCTCTTCAGGAATTTTGTTGTTTGTTTTGCTTTGGTCTGTGGCACGTAGAGTCTGAAAGTAATTGTGGCAATACGTACTGCCAGTTATTGATATATATATATATATAAATATATATATATATATATATATATATATATATATGTGTGTGTGTGTGTGTGTGCCTATGTGAGCTTTTTGACAATAAGTTTAAATTTCTACATGTGTGTGTGTGTCTGTCTGCTGGCTGTGTATGTAGGAGTAATACGAGTAACACTTATCAAAAGTTTGTTGCTAACACATGCAAATTGAAATGTGTGACTACACCCACGCACACACCCACGCACACACACAGACATGCAGCTGCTGGCGGCACATTGTTGCCAGCAGTTTGGCACACGTACAGAGTACATGAGTCTGGCGCACACGTGCACCTAAACACAGGGCACAAAACGTACCCATGCTCACCTGGCAGCAGCAGCAGCAGCAGCTGCAGTTACTGCCACTGTAACTGTGCCTCTTCTATGTAGAGCTGTGTGGGTGGTCTTTGTCTGTGCTCGTCTTCGAGTACCTGGCCTCTAACTTCCGCCTGTTTTAACACCTAACAACCAAGAAACCAACAACTTGCGCTGCTGCTGCATACTTATTATAGCTGCAGCATGTGTCTCTTTGTTGTTGGCTGGCAACACTTTTCCAAAATCCAAAATTCACCCACAAGCTACTAGTGTGTGTGCGTGTGCGTATGTGTGTGTGTGTGTGTGTGTGTGTGTAAACGTGTGCGGATTTCAACATGAGTTTTAGAAACAAAAGTTTTTGATTTCTTTGTTCAGCTCGTTGCTCGTTGTTGTTTTCTTTTTAATGTTGTTGTTTTATTTATTTTTTTTGGTTCTTTTGTCACAGCAACTTTTTATTGGAGCAGCATATGCGATGTTGTCAGCTGCCACGCCCCCAGCACCGTCCCGCCTGCGCTGGCCCAGTCTTCTCCATTTGTACCTTTTGTAGCAGGCATAATTGCAGCTTTTGGAGCTGTCAAACTTTTGCATACGCACTTTGATTTCTTTAGATAGAAGCAACAACAACAACAACCACAACAACAACAGCAATAACAACAATTGCATTAAACCCGAAAACTTGTGTTGCAAACAACAAGCACACAGAAAGCAAATAAAAAAAAAACCTTTTAATTGCATATTTGCGGTGCTGTGGGTAAGGGCTGAGCTGACAGCTTTACAAAACTTGCTCCATTTCTAATTGAGTTACATTTATGGCCAAAAGCTGAGCTGGCTGAAAAGAATCGAGCAGCCACAGCTTGCCACGCCCACCTAGTATATTCGTAATTTAATATGACTGACATTCGCTGTTCGCTGACAAGTTTAATACCTCAGCTCACTCTATGTCTGCTGGCTCCCCCCCCTCCATTTTCTCTTACTCAGCCCTCCACGTCACGTCCCGTCTATCGTCTATTGGATAATTAAGCCACTTGGCGACAGGTTTGACAGCCTTACTTTGAATTGTCAGCTCCTGGTTGAGATGCAGACGTTGATGCTCCAGCTTCAGCTTCAGCTTCAGCTTCAGCTACTGCTGCTGCTGCTGCTGCTGCTGCTGGTCTGCGGCATTTGTGGCTCACGTTGTGGTGCTGTGCGCTCAATTTCATTTTGAAGACAACTTGAGATTGTCGATTGGGCTGTCCGTGGACATGTTTTCGGCTCTTGGCGGTTGGCCTTGTCTCCGGCGGCGACTCACGCCTGACAGCGACAAAAGTTGAAGTTCAATTAAATTTCAGTTTTGCAGCTTTTGTTATTTTTGTCATTTGCAGTTTGATCGGTTCCTGTTTGCGACCATTATCTATGGGGACATTGAGAAATTGAAAATTATGATGCTGAAGCTGATGCTGATGCTATCGCTGTGTCCCCCGCCGCTCCACCCATGCCCGCTCCCACTCGTTGGATTGTTTCTGCAGCGCTGATTGCAAAATGCAATTCGCATTAAAAACTTTCAGCTGGGCAAGTTGTGGGCAAAAAGTTTTTGGCATTGGGTTGCATGATTGACGCTTTTGCCTGGCCTGGACAATTGCAGCTGCAGCTGCAGCTTAATCTATGGGACCTACCACATTTGGCAATCCAAGGCGAAAGAGAAAACGAAAGAGAGACAGAGAGACAGGGACAGGGAGAGCGAGAGAGAGAGAGAGATGGGGCTTGAAGGATTCGCAGCATCAGGTTCCATCAGGCATTCACTTGCGGCAGTTAATCAAACAGTAAACGGCAGGCTTTCATCTACAGCTCGTACCTTTTGGCCTGATGATGATTAGGCCTTTGCGGATGCTGCTGCCTGATGCCCGATGCCCAATGCCTGCCTGATGTGGCAGCATGAGTTGCATGATAACCGACAAGCAGCAGAAAAGTCGAAGCAAATGCCGAAGCGTTTGGCTTGGCTGTTTGTGGCACTTCTAAGGCGGCCGGCAGCAGGCAAGAGGCAGGAGGCAGCAGCTCTGACTCAGGCGCCCAACCGCGTTGCCGCTTGCCACAAACCCAAGCCACCAAATGCCACCACAGCTTGTAGCAATTGTCGTACCATTTGTCAGAAGCACGCGTCGACACTCCTCCCTCGCGGCACGCTGCGCATGTGCCGAGGGCCGCGATGCACCGACGTCTCGCCGCTGCCATCACCAAGCAATACGATCCACCACGTGCCAGCCGTGTGGATGCCGAGTGGCACATGGTGGATGCCATTCGTTTCGAAAATCCACTTCGACAATTGGCAACGACGTTTCGCAGCTCGTTCACTCGGCAACGCGGCTCGGCCGTCGCCAGCAGCCAGCATCCAACGGCCGTGCAAACGACGGCCATAGCCGAGCCGATGCCCACGCCCGAAGACAGCTTCGGCCGCCCGTTCGGGATGCTGTACGGCCGCCAGCGACTCTGCTGCGCTTTCAGTCTATCAACAACGTTTCCAACAGCCAGTTGGCTTCACGCAGCACACCAGACACTTCAACACACACAGTTTAACAGTTAATTCGCAGATACGCGCGTGTCTCTTCGGGCTCCTTGGGCATGCCATCTAAAACGTATCTCAATTATCACCTCTAATACATATGCGTGTCCGTGTGTGCTACCCAAATATATAAATAATATTTTTTTTAATTGTACTTAACTGCATTTTGTGCTTGTGTGGAAAAAATGTTTATGTGCAACGTTTGAATAGCCCAAATGTTTGGCTGCTCGAGCTCAGAGCAGATATTGTCGAAACTCTCTCAAAGGAATTGCAATCTGATAATCTGCACAGCATAAGAGCTAAGTAATAATATCAAGCAAAGCAAATGCGCATCATCTCCAAGCTGCAGCTCTATCGCTTCTACCTGGTGCTCATCGATCGCAATGAGAAAATGCTGATCGCAGTACTGTTGATAGTCGCGCTCGTCGAAGGTAACAAAACGCAACAAATCGAAATAAATATTTATATATCTCTAGCGCTATCTTTTTTTTTGTGGTGTTAAGAATAATATAATGAGGTGATGGATGTGTAAATATAAAATGCCATCAGATCAGTTGAGTTTTGGTTTATCATAAATAGTTTTATTTTTTTAATATATTATATCCTTTTTTGCCTAGAGTTACTTAACTTAAAAAAAATCGTATATATTTGCCTTGAGCGAGGCAAATGTGGATTACGCACATCTCTCTAAATATATATAAAATAATTTAAAAAAAATTAAGTTACTTAATAAATATAAAAAACTAGCTTGAAATGGAAAAAAATAATGATAATAATAAAAACTATTGTTATCAATGAGTAAAGACAAAACAAAAATATTTTTTTGGCATTACAAGAAAAAATTAATATTTAATAAGCATTTTTTATTAAACAAAATTAAATTACGTATCATTTGAATTGATATTTATTTAACGAGTGTCAACAAAAAAGTTAATTAAATATGTAGGCTTCCAGGGAACAGGTATGACAACAGTATTACCAATGCGCAGGGAAAGTTTCGATAGAAAATTAAATTGCTTTAAGCCTTAAAAAAATCTATTTAAAAACTTAAATAATTATAAATAATTTGAAGGCAAATCATATTATTTCAAATGGACAAAGCCTGTTTGCGCTTTGACAATGCTCTCAAAGTATTAATAACATAATTGTTTCATGTTTTTTATTTTTTTCACTTTTTACTATTACTTTTTATTTATTTTAGATTTTTTTTCTATTTTTAAAAAGATAAAATTGTCATAAATATTAATTTTGTAATACATAAATAGGATATTTAGCAAACAGTGCCAATGTTATTATTATTGTTATAATTATATTATATTATAATACATTTGTGTGCATGATACATTTGTTTTTGTAAATATTTAATATATATGTGCAAAAATATAATGTTATAAAAATGAAAATTAAAAGAGAGCACCCATTGCAAATAATTAAACTATATCACAAAAATAAAATGCTCTTTAGCATTATTTTTTTATTAAATTTGTAATAAGAGTAAGTTTAGTAAACATCAAGAGAACAACACATCATGAGTATTTAAATTGTAACTTATTTAGCATTACGAAAATGATCATGAAAAAATCATATTACTAATAATCATTCTCGTTAATAATAATTGCCAGTAATAATCATAAGCATAAATGATCATTATTATATTACGACGAACTGCATTATTATAATAACAATTGGTGTATATTAATAATAATTAAAAGTAATTAAAATAGTACAATTTATATATTTTTATTTACGAAACAAAACATGAGCTTGACTGATCACCCATAGCCGCTGCTCGCCCTTTTGTACACAAAAGTCACTCAAAAAGCAACTCTCCAGCAGAGCACCTGAGCACTTTTTGAGTTAGAATTTACACTCATTTTAAATTTGAATAGAAAGAAAAGGCGAACAGACATGGCTAACTAAGCACACACAACTTGATCGGGAATATATAAGCTATATATATATACTTTCTATATATGTAAATCAAATTTCTTTTCTTTCTGCTGCTGAGCACGTTTACTCATTGTACATGATATTGTACATGATATATATATATATATATATATATATATATATATATATATATATATATATATATATATATATATATATAAATATATAAATAATAGTATTAAAAATTCTTTGTTTTAAATAACATTTAATTATTAAATAATATATTTTAAATTAAATGTAAGATTTTGTTTCGCTTCGGCTTCCACTTCATATTTTTGTTGGATTCTATGATTTTGCTGAAAACTGAACTTAGCTAGTTTGCACTTCAGCTTATCTATTGTACACATTCTACATCAATATTTATATATATATGTTTTTTAATATGTATTGCATCAAGGGTATTTATCACTCTAATAATCCAGAATGTTATATAAAATCAATAATTATATTTAAAATGCGCTATCATTGTGCTGGCTGATGGTCGCTGTTGGCTGGATTTTGTGCCATTGCCATTGGCACTTAACGGTGTAAATAACACACAAATAAACAAATAAATTAATAAATAAATAAATAAATAGCACAAAAACAGAAATTAAGTGAATGGCAAAAACAGAAATCGACAGCCAAAGACAGCGGACAAAATCAACGAGAGTTTTTATTATTAAACAGCCTCCAGAGTCTGTCCGGCCCAGACCAAAGCGAGCCTCGCTGCCAACATATGTACCAAGCGATTTACCTTTTGATTTAATTGCACAAAAATTACCTCAATTTTTGTTTTTGTTTTTTTTTTTCAACTGAGCTTTATCGATGCTTGCGGCTGTGTGCAAAAGTAATTATTACAAATGAACTTCACCAACTGCGCACTTATCATGTGAGTTTGGGAATACACAAATGTATATATTTATATTATATATATATTTATCTATATAAATATATATATATATATATATATATATATATATATATATATATAGTATATTAGTTTTGTGCACTATTTAGTTGCTCTAGAAATAGAGAGTAGAAGAAGACATTAGCTTGATTTTAAAGAGAAATTTACATAAATAAGAAAATATATATATATTGCTTCAATTACATGTATATATGTTTATATATATATATATATAAATATATATTTTTTTCTTCTTCTTATTTATGTAAATATTTTAATAAAAAAAAACTTAAGACAACCTTTTTAAAATTTGCTAAAAATTGAAAACTGAATTCATATTCAGCATAAAAATATAAATTTATATTCTTTCAGAAAATGCAAATATGTTCATGCATATAACTTATTTAGTCATTCCATTCATTAGATTTAGGCTTTCATCTTAAATTCAAAACTAAATCTGGCAACATTTGGGCCTTTTCAGTATTGAGTTTGAAATAGCCACAAGAGCGACTTAAATGCAACAAATGCAGTGGGCAGTACTTTTAAGGTTGCAAAGTTCCATTGGAGCTGAAACCATTGTCGTTGGGCAGAAAATGCTGAAAATTGACAAAGCTAGAATTTTGCATGATTAGAGTTTGGAAATAGCTCAGCAAATAAATTTTTAAGCTAATCAATTTCGAGGTAATTTGTCATGAGACAATGGAATTTCTGCAATGGAAGAATTTCAATTTCAATCGAATATTTTGTAAGTAGTTGAAGGTAGAGAGAGATAGGGAAAGAGAGCCAACGGTACAGAGAGACAGACAGAGGGAGATATAGATAGAAAGAGATATACAGAGAGAGAGAGAGAGAGAGAGAGAGAGACATAGACATATATATTTATATATAGACATAGATATATATCTGTAAATATGATAGAGATCTGTATGTATGTTGGATAGAAATTTTTGAAATATTAGAAGCCGGAATAATATTTCCAACTGCAATTTCCCTATTTAAGACAAAGCATTAACTGCATTCTTCTGCTGCTTTATTTTAGCTACTTTAAGATACTTTAATTAAATTTGCAAATTTAATTTAATTTTATTTACATAGAAAATTTAGTTACCATTTATATAAACTGGGCGACTATTAAAGCTTGTTTAAACAATTGTCTCAATAAGTGAAATGGAATTAGAGACAATTGGAAAATATTAAAATATGAAATTGAAATGAAACTTAGACATTTAAATGCTTGATTCGATAATTGAATTCATAGTTTATTAAAATAAATTCTTAAGAAATGATTTTCTAAAATGCCGCTGCCTCACCACAGATGGATTTTAAAGTGAATAATTTTGCAGCAGAATTTTTTTTTAAAAATCATTTTTATCTTAACAAACTGCAATTAAATGCTGTGCATTGTAATCTGCCCTTAAATCATGTTCAATTAACTGCGCTTTTAGATAAAAAAATAAAAAAATTAAATCAGAAAAAAACCAGAAGGAAAACAGAAACAGAAAGCAGGAAAGTAAATGTATGTGAATAATTGGCAGATGAATAAACGGCATAATGAGCAATGGGGCAGTGCATAATTATTATATATACAAGCACACATACATAGCTATATGTATGTGTGTATGTCTGTGTGTATTTGTGATGCATGGACATAAAATTGAAAAGGCTGCTTAAATCTCGGCAAACAATAATTCCCCAGTGATAATGATGCAATGCGAATGCGTTTGCGAATATATTAAGCGAGCCAGGCAGCCAGGCAGCCAGGCAGTCAGGCAGCTCCCACTTCCCATGCCACTGGCCAGCTGCCACATGCCACAGCACCGATTGCCAGTTGCCAGTTGCCAGTTGTAATGGCCGCTGATAATGATAAGCATAAAAGTGAAAATAATTTTCAATTACAGCAACATTAATAACCGATAATAATCCTAAACAAATATTGCAAGAGGTGCAGGGGCGAGAGCTAAATGTCTGCGTGTGTGTGAGTGTGTGTGAGTGTGCATATCAATGAAATGCAAATTAATTGCCCAGCATGTGGCTGCAATTGAAAACGTGAACTGAGCAGCCATAAATGATAAGCTACTTGCCCCACGTGCCGCCTCTGGTAGGCACAGATCGGACGCACTTTAAACAAATACGCAATATGCATTAATAAACTGTAAGCCAAACCGCAATAGATTGTACTGGGACAGCCAGTCGGACGGACTGGCAGTCAGATAGCAACGCTTTTGGCACTTTGTTAATTCTATGCATGGATTGTCCCTCGGGTATCTTAATTGATACGACTCCGTGGCCACGCCAGGTCACTGGATGTGCTGTGGCACTAGCTGTGGCGGTTCTTTAGCTTTTAGAGTGTGTGGCCGCAGCCAGCCACAAGCGGACACCCACGTGCCGCTGGCCCTGTTCGTGCAGCTCACTTGCCAACGAGTTGGCTTGCGCTGACCGCCACTTTTGCAACACATTGCTGCACGCACATATATATATATATATATATATATATATATATATATATAAAAGCTTAGCTTAAAAAAAGTCGCGCAAGTTTGTGACTAAGTACTTCACAACCAACTCGAACACACACTCGCTGCATGTTGCATG